TCCCTGTTGCAGATGACATGATAGTATACATAGAGAATCCTAAAGATGCTACCAGAAAACTACTAGAGCTGAGCAATGAATTTGGTAAAGTAGCAGGATACAAAATTAATGCACAGAAATCTCTGGCATTCCTATACACTAATGATGAAAAATCTGAAAGAGAAGTAAGGAAACACTCCCATTTACCACTGCAACAAAAAGAATAAAATACCTAGGAATAAACCTACCTAAGGAGACAAAAGACCTGTATGCAGAAAACTATAAGACATGGCTGAAAGAAATTAAAGATGACACAGACAGATGGAGAGATATATCATGTTCTTGGATTGGAAGAATCAACATTGTGAAAATGACTATACTACCCACAGCAATCTACAGATTCAGTGCAATCCCTATCAAACTAACAATGGCATTTTTCACAGAACTAGAACAGAAAATTTCACGATTTGTATGGAAACACAAAAGACCCCAAATAGCCAAAACAATCCTGAGAAAGAAAAACGGAGCTGGAGGAATCAGGCTCCCAGAATTCAGACTATACTACAAAGCTACAATAAACAAGACAGTATGGTACTGGCACAAAAGAAGAAATATAGATCAATGGAACAGGATAGAAAGCCCAGAGATAATCCCATGCACATATGGTCGCCTTTTCTTTGATAAAGGGGGCAAGGGTATACAATGGAGAAAAGACAGCCTCTTTAATAAGTGGTTCTGGGAAAACTGGACAGCTACATGTAAAAGAATGAAATTAGAACACTTCCTAACACCATACACAAAAATAAACTCAAAATGGATTAGACACCTAAATGTAAGGCCAGACAGTATAAAACTCTTAGAGGAAAACATAGGCAGAACACTCTGTGACATAAATCACAGCAAGATCCTTTTTGACCCACCTCCTACAGAAATGAAATAAAAATAAACAAATGGGACCTAGTGAAACTTAGAAGCTTTTGCACAGCAAAGGAAAACATAAACAAGACGAAAAGACAACCCTCAGAATGGGAGAAAATATTTGCAAATGAAGCAACTGACAAAAGATTAATCTCCAAAATATATAAGCAGCTCATGCAGCTCAATATCAAAAAAACAAACAACCCAATCCAAAAATGGGCAGAAGGCCTAAACAGACATTTCTCCAAAGAAGATATACAGACTGCCAACAAACACATGAAAAGATGCTCAACATCACTAATCATTAGAGAAATGCAAATCAAAACTACAATGAGGTATCACCTCACACCGGTCAGAATGGCCATCATCAAAAAATCTACAAACAATAAATGTTGGTCAGAGTGCAGAGAAAAGGGAACCTCTTGCACTGTTGGTGGGAATGTAAATTGATAAAGCCACTATGGAGAACAGTATGGAGGTTCCTTAAAAACTAAAAATAGAACTACCATACGATACAGCAATCCCACCACTGGGCATATACCTTGAGAAAACCATAATTCAGAAAGAGTCATGTACCACAATGGTCACTGCAGCGCTATTTACAACAGTCAGGACATGGAAGCAACCTAAGTGTCCATCGACAGATGAATGGATAAAGATGTGGCACATATATACAATGGAATATTACTCAGCCATAAAAACAAATGAAATTAAGTTATTTGTAGTGAGGTGGATGGACCTAGAGTCTGTCATACAGAATGAAGTAAGTCAGAAAGAGAAAAACAAATACCATATGCTAACAGATATATATGGAATCTTAAAAAAAAAATGGTTCTGATGAACCTAGGGGCAGGAGAGGAAAAAAGACACAGATGTAAAAATCGACTTTAGGACGCGGGGATGGGGAAGGGTAAGTTGGGACGAAGTGAGAGAGTAGCACTGACATATATACACTACCAAATATACAATAGATAGCTAGTGGGAAGCAGCTGCCCTGCACAGGGAGATCAGCTTGGTGCTTTGTGACCACCTAGAGGGGTGGGATAAGGAGGGTGGGAGGGAGACAAAAGAGGGAGGGGATATAGGGATATACATATGCATGTAGCTGATTCACTCTGTTATACAGCAGAAACTAACACAACACTGTAAAGCAATTATAGTCCAACAAAGATATGAAAAAAGAAAAAAGTGAAGAAGGCATTCCACAGGAAAAAGAAAAAAAAGAAACATACCCACAAATGACTTAGGTATTGGAATTAGTATAAAAGACTGTAAAATAACTCATAAGTATGTTAAAGAGTCCAAAGTAATATATAGGTATAATGGGTGAAGAGAAGTGAAATGTAAGAAAAGATTTGAAAATATTTAAAAAAAAAAAGCCAAATGGACATCACAGAACAGAAAAGCACAATATCTGAGTAGAAAAGAAAAAAAAAAATCATTTGGAATCAACAACAGATTGGACACAACAAAAGAAAGGATTAGTGAACCTGAAGAAGACAGTGCAAAAGAAATTATCAAATTTGAAGCACACAGATAAAAAAAGATTTTAAAAAATGAACACAGCCTCAACCTGTGAGGTATATCAAGCAATCTAACAAGTATAATTGGTGCCCAAAGAGAAAAGAGAGGAAACAGGATTGCAAAAAGTACTGACAGAAATTTTTCCAAATTTGATTTAGAAAAGAAGTAATATGAATAATTACCCAGGAGGAAGCACAGCTAACCCCAAGCTGGAGCAATATGAAAGAAATTACGCCAAGGGACATTATAGTCACAGACAAAGCACGGATAGAAAAAAAAAAAAGTTGCCAGAGGAACAAATCACGTTACATAAAGGGGAACAACAATAAGGTAAGTATGACAACGGACTCATCATCAGAAACAATGGATGCCAGAGACAATGGAATAGCATCTTTAAAGGGCTGAAAGAAAAACATGTCAGCCTAGAATTCTATGTTCAGTAAAATTGTTTTCAAAAATGAAGATGAAATTTAGATAAATTTCACCTAAAAGCTAAGATGACTTCTTGCCAGCATACCTACATGTAAAGAAATACTAAAATACTAAAAGAAATTCTCAGGCTGAAGAAAAATTGAAGCCAGTCAGAAGAAATATGAAGCCAGAAAATAAGGAAGAGCACTGGGACTGATAAACATGTAGGTAAGTATATTTCTTTCCATAAGTACTTTAAAGCCAACTGTTTAAATAAGAATAAACATTGGGTTTATAATATATGAAGTAAAACACAAAAACAACGGCATAAAGAACAACAGTGAGTGTGAACTCAAATAATGTTTTAGGTTTATATACTATACGTGAAGTGGTATAATATTAATTCCACATAGATTGGAATAAATTAGGATATCCATTTTAATCTCTTGAACAACAACTTTAAAAATAAAAAAGGTATAAAAAAGTAGAGCTCATGGTCACACCAGGGGCATCTCAGAGAAATTCCCTGCTTTGTGTCAACATGTGGAGAGAGAAGCTATGTTAGAGGTGCCTGAAGACTGCCCTGTCCAGAGGTGGGCTTGGAGGGAGGGGCAGGAAGAGGTGCGGCTGCCTGTATTGAGAGGCTACAGCTGTATGCAGCAGCCTTGGAGACGTGGCTGTTACGGGTTCCCTGGGTCAATGCCAACCTCAAGCCCACACTATGTCTCCATTGCAAACCCAACCCCATGTCACAGACAAGTTTATACCCGTTGTCCAAGGACACAGAGCCAGTGGGTGGTGGGAGTGGAACTGGTACCCAGGTCAGCCAGAGAGACTTCTCGTGGCTCTTCACTCATCAAGAGCTCCAAGGAGAACTTACACATCTCAACATAAAAGAACTATCCACAAAGAAGTGAGGCCAGGTGACAGTCTCCTGATCTATTCTGCAGGACACGCCCTTGGTGGTTAATGATGGCTGGTTAAATCCCAGCCACTTCAAAGGTTTCCAAGGGAAACAGCAGGCAGAGGGTCCTAAATAAGTGAAAGCTGGGGACCCTATTTTCAAAACTCAAGAAATTCCCCAAAGACTCGTGACCCAGAGTTCTCCACCTTGTGCTGCTCGTAGTAGAGCTGAGGGAGCTAAACCACCTCCACAAAGACAAAGCAGCAGAGAAGGCCACACCCCAGGAAGGCATCCCAGCATGGCCATCAGTGTGCATGTGAGCACCTCCAAACCGAGAGCCAGTGCCCCAAGGCTAAGTGGACGGTCGAGGACAATTCATTGCCCCGGTCACACCTGCTCAGTGCCAGCTCAGTGATGCGCACCTACCAGGCACTGCAGAGGACTTACTGACTTACTGTCTGCCAGTCTGAGTTGTCAATCTTCCAGGCTCAGGGGGCAGGGGCAGGGGCAGGGGCGGGGGGCATGGAAGACGTGTGACTCTGCTCTAAAGCCCCATCCTAACAAAAGAAGCTTGACTCACAAATGGAGAAACCAAACAACAGAGCCAGAGACACCCAGGGTCAGGCGTGCTCCTTAAAGGGACCTGGAAGGCTGACCTCCCTCAGTAAACAAGACGAGGGGGGACACCTGGATTTGGGGAGCACTCCGTGGAGCAGAGAGGGCGTGAGAGGCCGTAAGTCATGGGTGGACTGAGCAGAACAGAGCAGCGGGGAGAGGTTTTTGGGGTGAGGCAAATGTTACCAGCTCGTCATAAACAGGGGAGACCGGGCATCTCCGGGGGACACTATGACAAATGTCCTCTGGCTAAAGCCGAGGGACAGGGCAGGAGCAGTGGGCCAGGATGCTCGAGCGGGAGTTGGGGCCAAGGAAAGGCCTTCGTCCCAAGTGAAAACCGTAAACCCTGCTGGGAGAGTCAGAGGGAGGGCAGGATGGGCAGCAGGAGGGGACCCAGGCGGCCTATTAGGACTGGTCTGCTTGACAGCGGTGAGTCAGCAGCCGGACCCACAGGACCCGCGGAGGCTTTTCAGGCAAACCAGTGAGCAACACCTCTGCCTCCAGGCCCCTGGCAGCGTGAGGTCAGGCCCATGGTCCGACTCGGCCACCGAGGCCAACGGAAGTGCCACTGCTGAGACTCGCAGGAGGGACACGTGCAGTACCCCTGCCCCAGGCCCGAGCCCCCAGGCAGCACACTCCTGGGCCTTACCTCCGATTTTTGCATTGTACGCGATGCCCACGATGCAGTAAGAGTTGTTGGCTGAAGCGGCGACCTCTCCCGCACAGCGAGTACCGTGTCTGAGGCAAAGGAAAAAACGAAGTTAGGACTCCGCCAGCACCTTGCAGTGGGTTCAGCCCTGCTCAGCTCTCCTGCAAGAAGAGTCATTATCCCTAAGCCCGGGGAGGATGCTGAAGCCTTCTCCCCACATCCCTTCCCATCGCCCCCCGCCCTCTGATGGCTGCTCCGGGAGGGGCATCAAGTGGGCTTTTGCACGGGCCTGGACCGTCCCGTTCCCCACCCCCACCCCGCACCCCGTAGGCTGGCAAGGCCTTCCCGCCGCCCTGCAGACATGATGCTCCCGCATCAGGCTGAGTCTCCTGCTCCGGCGCCAGGGGCCCAAGCATCCCTCCTCCCAAGCTCTGCGTCCCCGCGACTGACAACACAGCGTAGACGCCTGCCTGGCTGCCGAGCTGAAGTAACAACACACGAGACCCTAGATCCTGTGTCCTCTTGTGTCCCCCTCCTCCCACCCCATGCTCCCCTCGGGCAGCCCCCCCACCCTTCCCACGGCCATTGCAGCAGGAGCCGAGGAAGAAAGCTCGAAATGGAACACTCAGCGGCGGTGGACAGACTAGGAAGAGGCCACCTGAAAAACAGATCGCTCCCCTCGGGTAATGACCCCATTCTGCAACATGCTGCACCGGGTCAGTTCCTCCAGCAGAAGCCAAAAAATACCGGCGAGTTTAAGGAGCATATCTCTGAGAAGAGTCCACAGGGGATCAGAATCACTGAGTCAACTTTAAAACCACCTTTGAAACTAGTCCAGGGCTCATGCATTAGCCCTGGCGAGGCAGCCCTCTGTCCTCTGGACCTCGTGCGCCCACAGCCAGGGCTGCTCCCAAGTCATGCAGCCCACCGTCCCACTCAGCATTCAATCCTGCCCTTCATGGATCACTGTGCAGTGTCTGGATCATCCCTCCTGGCTCCCTGCACTCGGGGCTGGGAGACCAGGCGCCCTGCACCACTGGTGTGCTGGTGGCTGAGTGGGAAGGGCACCTGGGGACGTGAGGCTGGGGCCTTTGCAGGCTCCCTGGAGCGCCGTGGTCCGTCGTGCTGACTGCGTCTGCCGGCCGAGCCTCCCTGCACGGCACCCTGTGGGCACCAGGATTTGAACCCCAGAATCAAATCAACCACAACCTAAGATATTATGGACGAAGACACACCTTGGCAAGCGTCGTGTCAACAGTGGAGAAGAAAGGGACTTCCCTGGTGGCTCAGTGGTTAAGAATCCACCTTCCAATGCAGGGGACATGGGTTCGATCCCTGATCAGGGAACTAAGATCCCACATGCATGCCACAACTAAGAGTTCACATGCCACAACTGAGGAGCCCGCCAGCCACAACTAAGGAGCACACATGCCGCAACTAAAGGAACTGGTGAGCTGTAGCTAAGACCCGGCACAACTAAAACAAATAAAATACAATTAAAAACCAAACCAAACCAAACCAAAAAAACAGTGGAGAAGAAAGAAACAGCTTCTGTTCTTCTCTAAATATTTTTGGAAGAATGAGAAGAGCTTGGGGCATGGGGCATGGGGCATGCTGACTGAGAAATGACAGGCAGGACACAGCAAACAAGCTCTAGGGCTGGGCTGGGGAAAGTGGACATCACCCCCAGGGCTGCCACCCACGGAGCCGAGTCACCTGATCTCTCCAGACCTCCCGCCTTCATTTGCAAAGTGACGATCACAAGCGTCACTGACTGAACACCCTCCGTGTGTGTCCCTCACCCATCACCCGACTCCCACCCACAGCCCTGGGGCATGGGGAGCCTCAGGCCACGAGACATGACCCAGCCTGCACAGAGGCACACAGCCAGGCCCAGGATCTGGGCCCCGATTTACCCAGCATCATTCACTCTTCTGCCACCTCCCTCGTGAGGTCACAGACAGACTCAGAAAGGCTCGGACATTGACCCATGCACTGTGGTCTGAACACAGCCGGCTGTGGGGACCACGAGATTTAAGGGTTACTCTTTTCAAATCCAACAGCGTTTTGAACAGGAACAATGCTGGTCCAACATCCATTGCTAGCTGACCATCAGGGGTGACGCCCCTTAGGAAGGGGCCGGATCCACTGAGGCTGCCTTGTGCCTGAAGGGCTGTGCGGGGCTGGCTCCTGGCTCAGCCCCAGACCCAGCCAGGCAGCCGGAGAGGGGCCTCTGACCCGTCACGGTTCCAGGATCCCGACTGTGGGCCAGCTCAACAGTGACTGCAGGGAGACGGAAAGGGAAGCAAGGAGGGGCCGGCCAAGTGACCAAGTGACATACTTGTTCTCATTGCTGGCATCATATCGCGGAGACGGGTCGTAATCGTTTCCGTTGACGTCATAGCTCGCATAGGAATCCTAAGAAATGAAACCCTCGTGACCGAAGAGAAATGGCCTGGCATATCACAGCCCTGCTTTAAATTGTTTTTATGCCTCAATTGGAAACAGAGAAAAATGCACGCTTGGTACTCCCTTACTATAACTTTATATATATATATATACATACATATATATATATATATATATAAAATTTTGTATACATATATATATATGTATGTATATATATTATGGTGGGAAATACACATAACAAAATTTACCACCCTAACCATTTTTAAGTGCACAGTTCAATGGCTTTAAGTACATTCACACTGCTGGGCAGCCGTCACCACCATCCATCCACAGAACGCTTCTCATCTTGCAAAACTTACAACTCTGTCCCCATGAAACACGAACTCCCCATCCCCCTCCCCAGCCCCTGGCACCCAGCATCTACTTTCTGTCTCTATGAATTCGACTCCTCTAGGGACCTCATGTAAATGAAAGTGTACAGTGCTTGTCCTTTTGTGACCTAGATAATGTCTTCATCGATGTGGCTGATCCACGTGGTCGCGTGCATCAGATAAAGGTTCATCCACGTGGTAGCAAGTGTCAGAATGTCCTTCATCTTATATTTTTAATATGCATGTTTTTGCGTATATACTTATAATCATAGTATTCGTGTAATATCCTAACATCCTTTTAAAACACATTATAAAAGCTCTCCAGATGGCTGACTTCAAAACTGTCATCTTTTGAAAACTAGTATATATAGGATGGATAAGCAACAAGGTCCTACTGTATAGCACAGGGAACTATATTCAATATCCTGTGATAAACCATAATGGAAAAGAACATGAAAAAAAAATATATATATATGCATATTTGCTGTACAGCAGAAATTAAGACAAGACTGTACCCCAGGGGCCTCAGAATACTAAATACCTTTCTCACATTTACTACGTGCTGGGCTCTCTTCTTTACATTTATGAAGCCGTTTAATCCTCACAATTTCCCGAGGAGGTAGTAGTCCTGTTACTAACCCCATTTTACAGAATGTGACACCGAAGCACAGAGAAGTCAAGTAAATTGCCCGGGGTCTCAGGGTTAATAAGCCGCAGAGCCAGGACAGGAGCCCCAGCAGTTTGGGTCCTAAGCCCACGTCTTAACCCTGCCATTTCTCACGTCGCTGATGTTGATCTGACGGCGACCTCCATGCACACGTCTCTGAGTTTCTTAGGACCCGTTCCCAGAAGTACATGTGAATCCTCTAACATGTGAACGGATCCCTCTGCGAACCCCTGGCTCCGGGTAGCAGGGGAGCTGGGTTCACCAGCCCACCCAGCTCAGTTTTCTGTACTGTCTGATATAGGGAGGGGTAGGCACCTTATCGTTTTATAAATGTGTCCTTGTTTAATGACCCACGCAGTTGAATGTCTCTGCATGCCAATTGCCAGTTTTAAGGCTTGACTTACATAGTTTGGGGCCAGGTCGGGGTGATTCCGCTCTATGCCATCATCCAGGATGGTGACCACCACGTTTTTTCCCGTGTAGCCCCGCTTCCACGCCGCCTGGACATTCATTTCTGATCGGCAGCGACTGTTCTTGTCGCCACAATGCTGCAGGCACAGAAGACACAAAGCCCCCCCCGCCACGGACACACCTGACACAGACCTGCAAACCCAGCAGAGGTGCTCCTATGCTCGTAAGGGAATACGGAGAAAATGCTTTCCCGTGCCTGACAGAGCAGAACCCTCTTTCTACCACCCATTTCTGGGAACGGTCCACGTGGAGGGTCTACTGCTTTTTCTGCCCCGGCAATCTGTCCATCACTTTCCCAGGACACCCACCGCCCTTCAGGGGCTCTGTTCACTATTCACCATGTAGTGACTCATACACCGTGCAGCCAATCGCTCCCCTGCTCAAAGAGCCCCTCCCCTTGGACTTTCACATAATTAAAAAAACTTCACAAGAAAGCTTGCACCTCACAGCATTAAAACAGGAGTTTTACACTCAGATGAAGTGTGTCTGTTTGGAGGTGTCATGAGAATTTAGCTTTGTTGGGGGAAACTGACCCATCTCAGAAACACAGCACTGCAAATGCTCCAGGGACAGAGAGGCCCACGCCCTACTCACCATGTACCACATGTTGGACCAAATGGGGTCGTTGAAATAAAGGGCCTGAGGGTCACTTCGCACCTGTCTCTTCACCCTGCGTTTAGCTTCTTGTTGTTGGAGCCATTTCACCTACCAGGGGAGAAACGCAGTTACTTTTTGTTTTAAAAATGATCTCCTGGTTTCACGTGGCCTCCTCGTAGGTGCTCCAGCTGTCCTTTTCCATGAACATCTGTGTCTATTAGATGTCTTGGATGGTAAATTCCAAGGAGATGTTTTCACTTCAAGGGATCATATTTGAAAAACAAGAACTAGTCTGGGTCTGTAGGGGAGGGAACAGGACCACTCTCATAGAGTTTGAAATGATTCTACTGAAAAAAAAAAAAAAGACCTTGTGAAGTTGCCAACAGATTCTCTGGTGACCCTTGTCCCTAATTAAAAGGAAATACATGCAAGGGTATGAAAAGAGTGAAGAGAGGGGAGAAACCGGTCAAATGGTGATCAGGAGTTGGAAGTAAAATGTTTTACAGGGAGGATACGGTTAATTGTGATAATCCATATATTGGCATTTTTAGCAGCTTCTGCAAACATGGTACCAAAGCATGTACAGAAAACCTAAAAAGGGATACAGCGAACTATTAATAGCAGCAATTCCTTGATGGTGACACTATTATTCATTTAAAATTTCTAAATTATTTTAAGGGTTTTATAAACTTCTTTCAATCGGCATGATCTGCCTTCACAACCAAGGAAAAAAGCTTGAGAGGCAGGATAAATGTTATTTAAGAGCAGGAATCCAGGAGGCTGGCTGCCTGGATTCAAAAGCCAGCCCCACACTCACCAGCTGTGTGACCCAGCGGTTAGCCTCCCTGGCCTCACCTGTATGACGCGCATCATTGTGGCTCGTCATGAGGAAGCACTGGCACATAAACTGGCATATAAAGCATGCACATCACCGCTTGGCACATGGCTGTGTTATCCTCACATGTGTGTATGTGTGTATGTGTAAGAGTTTTTCAAGGTGGAAGAGTTTTTTCACTTTTATTTATTTACCTATTTATTTTAAAATTTATTTTTTAATTTATTGGCTGTGTTGGGTCTTCGTTGCTGCGCTCGGGCTTTCTCTAGTTGCGGCGAGCGGGGGCTACTCTTCGTTGTGGTGCATGGGCTTCTCATTGCGGTGGTTTCTCTTGTTGCGGAGCACGGGCTCTAGGCGTGCGGGCTTCAGTAGTTGTGGCACGTGGGCTCCGTAGTTGTGGCTCGCGGGCTCTAGAGCACAGGCTCAGTAGCTGTGGTGCACGGGCTTAGTTGCTCCACGGCATGTGGGGTCTTCCCAGACCAGGGCTCGAACCTGTGTCCCCTGTGTTGGCAGGCAGATTCTTAACCACTGCGCCACCAGGGAAGTCTGAGTTTTTTCACTTTTAAAAGATGTGGGACTTGAATCCCTGTGCCCTGAACCGAAACATTTTCTTGGTCCTGCTGCTATGGGCCCCCGATTCAGTACACCTCCCGCTGGGGCTCAGCTCTGCACCGGGGGCTGAGATGGGCAGGATGGGGGCAGCAGGCCCTGCTCTCAGAAGTTTGTGCTCCAGTCAGGGGCTCCCACCACACAGCACAGGGTGTGATGCAGGCTCCAAGAAGGCAACAGGTGGCCCAGGGCAGAGAAGGTGAAGGGGAGAAGGAGGATGGAGCCTCCGGGAGGGTGATGATGGGGGACCCTGGCTGACCTGGAGGCCAGGCCAAGGCCGGTGACCCCAGGGGAATGAAGGCACAAAGTCCGAGGGTCAAGCTGCTCCCCTCAGACCGCTCAGCCTCGACCTCCCCACATGGTCCTGAGGGAGGAGAGGACAGCCTCATTCACATCTAAGAGTGACGACTGATCTCAAGGCATTGTTGGTCACCAGGACAAAATGCTTAGAAAGAAATATCACAGCCTGTCCCCCCACCAATGTGACTTGTCTGCAAAACACCAGTAGATCAGCTTCCTGGGAGATGCCGCAAAGAGCTCAAAACAACTTGCATTAGGCGCTAGAACAAGCCCAGGTCCAAGTCCTGGACCACTTATAGTTGCCACTGATAGATACTTCCATGGAAAATAAAACTGTACAGTGAGATATTTTGCTCATAACACCCTCTGATGGCATTTTGCAACTTCCTCATATATTACTGCCTGAACCAGAAAGCTTTCACTCAGTATCAAAAACCTAAGACTGTATTTCCTAACCTGCTAGGCAACCTGTTGTAAAGTACAGCGGTAGGCAAGCCACTGACAGCTCCAAGCTCCCGGGATGCTCCCGTCCACCTTGCCTGGCTGACTCACTACCCATTTTACTGGCACCAGTTCCTTCCAACTGTGGTGCCCACCAGGCTTTACTTCCTGTCCCAGAGGAGGTGAACCCTCCTCTTCCAAGCCTGAGTAGGTGACTCCCCCGAATCAGGCAGGTGACATGGGGAAGCATGTTGCCAGAAGTCACAAAACAATCCCCTAGTGGGATAAAAGAGTGAGGGCACCTGGCCTCCAGTCGTTCCTGGGCTCTGGGTAAGAACCCAACTTAACACACAGTTCTGAGGGTCGGCTGTGATGGCCCAGGGCCCGCGGCAGAGCTGGAGGCTCTCCTTGTGGCATGGTCCCGGGGAAGCCCTCTCCCCTGAGGCAGGTCATTGTAAGACTCTGAGAGACAGCCAGGCACTGTGGGCCAATGGAACTGGATATAACAAATTACTCGCCAGGGCTGTGGAGATGGATTCACAGGTGACCTCCCAGTCACAGAGGCTGACTCAGCCAGTGGTCACTTGGTCAGAGCCTGCTCCCCGTCTCCTCTCTCCAGGCTCCAGCCACTGCCTTGCTTCTCACCCAACTCCAGGAAAGGGCAGGGGCTCCTGGATCCCATCATCCTGGCCTTTTCCAGATTTGCCCTGATTTCTCTGGAGAGCACGACCCCCATGGTCCCTTATTCGCTCACCAAAGCTGCACTGAGTCTCACTGTGTGTCCGGCACTAGGTTCTAGGAACATGAGTATGAGTGTAAATACCACTGGTTCCCATCCAGGACCAAGGGCCCTGTCCCACCCTCCAGCTCAGACCCAGAGCTCTGCTTCAGGGGCCCCTCAGGTTGGAACCCAGAGCCAGCTGACCTCTCCGGGAAGGTCAGGGGTGCCGATGACCCAAATCCAAGTGCCTGAAACTTTAGCTTTCCCAAAGGGTACCCTCATCACGAACAGTGATGCTCTTTATGACAAAGGAACGCACAGTTCAGGATCCCTAAGGACGTGTGTCACTCGTGGAATTCATTCTTCTGCAGAGCTCGCAAACAGACGGTGAGCTGGAACTGACCAATCACAAGTACTGAAATTGAAACTGTGATTAAAAAACTTCCAACTAACAAAAGCCCAGGACCAGATGGCTTCACAGGCGAATTCTATCATTTAGAGAAGAGTTAACACCTATCCTTCTGAAGCTATTCCAAAAAACTGCAGAGGAAGGAATACAAGCGGTGAGCTGGTGGTGATGGGGAGAGTCAGGCTGGGAGGGGGCCAGACTGTGATGTTCTTCCTGTGATGATCTCTACGAGGAAAAGCAACCTGAGATGCTCAGGAGAACTGGCAGTACGCTTCCTCCCCTGAGAGGGCTCGTGCAAGAGGAAAGTCGTCATAGTTTGCTGGCAGTCTGCCCGGCTGTCACTTTACACTGTAGCTTCGTTCATGCTCTGCTCATCAGATCCCTCAGAACTCCTTGAGGAGGTGTTCAGACTTTCTCTTGGTGAAAAAGGCAGGGGGCAGACAGCGGTACACACTGTCTGCCTTTCAAGGCCATAGGAATATACTTGGAAGGTAAGTCCTAAACCTGGGTAAGCCTGCAAATGAGTGGGCCTGGGGCACGTTAAAATACACATTGCGACTAAGCGTGCGTGGTAAGAGCTGAGCTTCTTAGGAAGAGAACCAATCACTCTGCAAAGCCTTCAGATCACTGGAGTGAAGGAAGGGGAAATATCGCTGAGAAGAAAGGCCCTGCTCATTCCACATCACTCTCTTTAGGTTTTGTAGAGAGTTGACTGGTGGCCTCCCAAAAGGTACATTCACCCAGAACCAGTGAATGTGGCCTCCCTTGGGAAAAGGGTCTTTGCACATGTAATTAAGTTAAAGCTCTGGTGATGTGGTCATGCTGTGCCCTAAATCCAATGACAAGTGTCCTTACAAAGGACAGGCAAAGGGAGGTTGAGACACAGGAGGAGGAGGCCTTGTGAAGACAGATTCCACAAGCTGAGGAGCATCTGGAACCAGGAGCTGGAAGAGGCAAGGAAGGACGCTCCCTGAGAGCCCTCAGAGGGACCACTGCCCTGCCGACACCTCAGCTTCAGACTTGTGGACTCCAGACTGTGAGATAACGCATCTCTGTTGTTTTAAGCCACCCAGTTGTTGGTCATTTGTTACAGCCGCCCTGGGAGACTGATACAGGTTTAAATCACAGCCTTGATCAGGGTTGAGATTTTAAATGTTTGAGAATCCATGAGGCTGTCCTGCTAAACGGAGGATCCAGAGGCCCCCAGAGGATGGGCTGAGGCTGCAGGAAAAGCACTGGAGCGGGGGTGGGACTCAAGGCAGCAGCTCTTACCCAAAATTTTACTTCTTTTAACTTCGTGCAGGATCTTTGCTGTGACATGTGGGATCTTTTTAGTTGCGGCATACAAACTCTTAGTTGCGGCATGTGGGATCTAGTTCCCTGGCCAGGGATCGAACCTGGGCCCCCTGCATTGGGAATGTGTAGTCTTAGCCACTGGACCACCAGGGAAGTCCCCCAGTATCTGAAAAACCAGAACAGAATGGCCATCCCAGTGTACCCAGCTCTGGCTGGCAGCCTCACCCACACAAGCCTGCAGCCCCCACCCTAACGGCTCCCCCCTGCACATCTCAGGGCCCTGGACACCTCTCCCTGCCGTTCTCTGAAACTAAAGCTGCCCCAAGGTGGGTCCTGCCCCCTATACCCAGGTCCCTCTCACCCTCCTGATTCTCCTAACTCATCAGCACTAAAGCCCACCTGTCCCCCAAGTCAGAACAAAGCTGGGATCCTCTCCAACACGAGTGTCACACATTCCATCTCCTCAAGGGGTCAGGATCCCATCCCCAAGATTCACC